CTATTAAAGTAAATATTTTTCATGGGCCTTACATTAACATCAAAAGATCATATATGTTTCTTAGATTTATTCTTAATCATAAGCACTAATTTCTTAATTTGAAAACTAATAGAAGTAAAAAACAATTTAAACCTAAAATCTACTATTCATCCTTATATCATGCTAAATTAAAGACGAGGTAAAAAAAAAATTTTAATAATGAAACTTCGAAGCTAAACATAGAATATATATTTTCTAAATGAATATTAGTAACATATATATCATTCACTTTAGAACCACCAAAGATAAATCATTTAATAGTGAACAATCATTATTTATATGTATCCTTAGTTTAAACATTGAGTCCATTATTTTACTTAAAGAAGAAGTTTAATATGTCACTTATAAACTTGAAATAAGTTAACAACCATCGAATTTACTAGTTGAATTTTTTTCGTACACTAAGCAACTTTCTTTTCAAGAAGTAAACATATTATGAATCATAGAGACTTAGCTCCAACAAAAACTGTAAAAGAAAGAAATCCTTGATTACAAAATATAAGCATATTAAGACGTCTAGCAAAAGAAGAAGAAACATCAATAACGTAAAATTGAATTTTGAATTTTAGAATGAGTCATCCACTAACTAAAGATTCAAAGAGTGATGTAAGCAAACAACCTCGTGACGAACAATTTTTGGTAGCTAGGATGATCCTACCTACTTTTACATGAATTTAGTGTTGTTATTTCCCATAAATGGATTATACTGTACAACCGAATGAACCTGTGCCAACTCTTATTTATTACTACTCTTATTTACTACCTACTTACCACATTTCTACCTTTGCATCACCAAATTCATTACTTCATACAGAATTCTAACTTTGCATATCGGGTAATTACCATACCTACACTCATAAACTCTCTCTATGTTCGTCATGCAAATGCAAACTGTCAAAATAATAGACTTGCACTCTTTTTTCTGTTAAAAACTGTATCTTTACACTCTTTATTATTGAATAATTTGTACAAGTGGTTTTGTGGGACCCACGTAATTGAAGTTTTATATGATTTTCATTAATAAAATTAATATAGTGGTTGTAAATCTAGGTAACTTCTTTTTATTATAATAAAATTGAGAAACAACATTTGAATTCATATAAAAAAAAAATCCAAATTTGACCTACAATATTAAATCCTCATTTCACACAAGATTGAAAATGAATAATAATTTAAAACTTTTATTATAATAATTTTAGGAGTAAGGTAAAAAATAATGTGATTGTGACCATATTATATATATATATATGGGTTTGCAAAGTATATCAAGTTTTAGTAGAAAAAAAATCTCCATTTATAACATACTTTAAACCTAAGATATTTTAATAATTTTTATTTTTAATTTAAAATAAAAAATAAACAAAATCAAAAACACTCACATAACACTAATCCACATTCCTTACTTATCCAATTTATTTCTTTCTCATATCTATTTGCTTTGTTTCTTTTATTTATTTATTGAAAATTATTTTCCAAATTCATTTATCCAAAACTTAATTATAAATTTTAAAATATTTATTATTTCCTTTTATTTAATCTTTAAATCTCTTTTAATAAACACATAAATAAATATCAACCCATATATAAATATGATGTTAAAACTAGTTTATTTTAAGTTGTGATAGGTTATAATTTGATCGTCTTCATTATTCCAAATATCTATCTATATTTGTAAATTTTTTTTATAAATAAGGTAAATTAAAAGCATAGTTGCATTATGTTAATAAATTTGGCAAAAGAACCTGACTAAATTAAATAAGAAGCTGGAAAATCAGAAAATTATTTGGTACAATTATCTTGAAAAGTCATTGATAGTAATGGAATGAAATTGTATTTTCCATTTTGTTGTTGAAATAGAATAGAGTTAGAAGTAGAATTAAGTAGTGGATGATGTTATGAGAGTGAGAAGTCAAAATTAGGGCAAAAAATTAAAGAGTGGGAAATATGAAGTGGCAACAAATTGTTGTGCTAAAGTTTCTGATTTTTTTTATTTTAAATTAAAAGTAAAAATTATTAAAATACTTACTTTACTAAAATGTATCAATAAAAAAGAGTTTATATATTAACATTATTTATTTTGTAATTTTTATTTATTTTTCATTTAATTGTTTTTTATATATATTTTGAAATATTAAGCCATAATTTTGTGGAAAATGATACCATTAAAGTTTAGTTATTACATTTTTTTTAATTATGTCCTTTTTTTTCAATCTGTTTTATGGAATATTTAAGGTTTGATATTGGTTTTAGGAAATGTTATGAATTTTCTAATATACTCTTTGTTTGTCTACTAATTCATATTAAGCCATAATTTTGTGGAAAATGATACCATTAAAGTTTAGTTATTACATTTTTTTTTTAATTATGTACTTTTTTTTCAATCTGTTTTATGGAATATTTAAGGTTTGATATTGGTTTTAGGAAATGTTATGAATTTTCTAATATACTCTTTGTTTGTCTACTAATTCTTAATTAAAGATAATTCTAAAAAAATATATTTAATACTCTATTAATGTTATAATAATATAATTAATTTTAGCTTGTTTTTTCGAGAACGTATGGAACTGAGAGAGTATTTAATTACAAGTATGATACAATTTTTTAAAATATCACCTTACTACATAAATTAATTACTAATTGAATGGATAACATAAATGATCATGCATTATAATAAATTAATAATATATTGCTATTTTTTTAATAGTAACCAAAAGTTATTGAAGTTACACAAAGTATTTTAATAACATGCAATTCAAATAAATTTAAAATTAAATTACGAACTGGGCCATTTGATTGTGTTTCGTCTTCCACCGTTCATTCCCTGAAAGAGAACATTTCATTTTATTAAATTACATTAAAAAAGATAAAGATATACTCCGACAACGACAAACTTGTTCTTAGAAACAATCATTTTTATGTTCATTATAGTCATATTGTCATTCAGTACCATATCAATTATTAGAAGTGTCACCAAGTATATCCTTATTACTATTGTTCTGTTATATTGTGCATGAAAATCACAGTGATAATTATTATCAACATTATTAATAATAATATTATTATTTAAAAACATATATACATCAAAATAAAATTTAGTATATATATATATATATATATATATATATATATATATTTATTGATTATTTTGAAATTTATTATTTCACAAGATATAATTATGTTTAGGGAAATATATATGAGTGAGTAAATTTGGTGACGAATACTAAATAAATATTCTTAATGAATATTTATAAATTATGATATAAATATTTAATTATATCATAATATCCAATTCGTAGATATATACTACTTATTTTTTTATATTTTTTAAATAATATTGTATAACACTGTATAATTAATTAAGTATTAAAAAATGTTAATTGACAATTTCAAATACAACATATTTGTTTGTGGTGATATAATAGCATGTCATACTTAACAAGAAAAGACTCTTACTATTCATAATATAGTTTTAATTTAATATGCTTAAAATAAGGGTCGAAGACTAAAAGTAATGATTTAAAAATTTTGAGAAATGAAAACAAAAGAAAATATTTTATATGGAATAAAATTAAAATTCACATGTCTTATATAAAAATGAAGAATAATAATTTTAAATTCTATAAAACTGAAAAAATAAAGAATTTTTGTTAATATACAGTGTACCCTCAAGCAAATTTGGAACCTTCTGTGTCAATTATCAAGCTTTTTCATCTCATCAATCAGAGACTAATTATAATAATCCATTTATGTATTAATAATAAATAGAATTTCACTTAGAAGACTAAAATAAAAATTTACTTATTTTATAAAGATTAAAAATAATAGTTTGAAATTTTACAAAAAAAGAAAACAAAAAAAAAAACACAAGATACCAAAATTAAAAATTATTATATCTACATAGACCAAAAATATATTTAATTAGTATATAAATGAAATTATCACAAGTTACTTAATTGTGCAGCAATACTAAGATAAGAGCTTGTTGTGCATACATTATTATATTCTTATCCAATTATTTAATCTTAGAAGTCTTTTAATATAATTTCTTTGACTTGTATTTATATGCTTCAAACTGAAAAACTTGTAACAATTAAAAAATTGTCAGACAATAAAAATTAATTATTAAACTATATCTAATATTAGGTAATTGCCTTTTTTATAAATTTAAATTGATTTTAAATTTTTTTGTAATCCAATTTTTTTATATAAATTAAATTTCAATAATAATTATGCAAACAAATATTTTTTATTACAATTTAAATAATTATCATTTCTCACTAATTAAAATATAGCACTGAATCAATAGTTAAAAAAGATGTAGCAGTGGAATAATGATTAAAAACCTAAATAAATATAAATAGAAATTAAGGTTTTACTTTAAGAGATAAAATTTAAAAAAATAATTAAATTTGATTAAATAAATAATTTTAAGAAATAAATTAAATGCGGTGGCTGAGAGATTCTCTTCACTGCATGCTCTTGAGTTGTATGTGATGTGGGACTCTCAATTTTTTGTTTCATAGCCAATGAATCTCTGTCACACTCTTGTTACTTTCTTTCTGCTCCCTCTTTGATTCCTTTTCTCCCCAAAGAAAAATCGAAATCCCATTTCACTTCCATCAGAAAATGAAAGCCGTTCTTTCAGTCAACTAATAATAATTCAGCACCCATTGCAACACATTCTTCATTACCCTACACACCTGGCTCTTACGTGTCTCATAGCTAATCAATCTTTTGGTCACACTCACAAAATCAGCATCAACCAAACCTAGGTGAAAATAATCTAATTTTTCTTACCTTAAAATGCTATTATACTCGCACGTGCTTGATCCCACATGCTACGATTTTCGCGGTGCGTAAGCGTGAAATTTGTCACTGCCTGCCACGTTTCGTTACACTGCAGGATCAGGAGAGGCTCCACATTGCTACAAATAAACCCTACTCAGATTATCTTCCTTCACGCCAAACACTCTCTTTGCACTAACCACATTCATTCTCTTGTCACTGTTTCTTACAACTCCTCCGTAACCCGTGAGTCACTTTAACTTTCTCTCTAACAAACTCTAATGCTCTTTGTTCATGTTTCACACTGATTTTCTCTACGCTACTACACATTTTATTCGATTGTTTAGATCTTGAGCATTTTCTCTCAATACACTGTAATGCTAACTATGTATTGTTCATGTATATTGGTTTGATCTCTTGGACTAGTTACTGCCATCATTGTGTTGTTAATGATGAATTTCTGGTGTTGCATGCAGAAGGCATTAGCATGGCAACAATGTCGATGGCATCCTACGCGTCAAACCGCACAGCTTGGAGTGTGGAGGCGAAAGTGAAATCATCGGTTTCGGTTCCGGTGAGCCTGATTAGGCAGGAATTGAAATACGATGGATTGAGATCTCTGGACAAGGTGCACGTGCTAAGCACGCATGCGACCAAAACGAGAAGCTCTTTGTCTGCTAAGAGTGGGAAAAGTGGACGTGAGAGGGTTTTGGGGAAGATCGAATGCGGGATGAACTTGATCTTCGTGGGAGCTGAGGTGGCACCTTGGAGTAAAACAGGGGGACTTGGTGATGTTCTCGGAGGACTTCCACCAGCTTTGGCTGTAAGTGGATTAATTGATTTATTTCTCTTGTCTGATTTAATTGTTTTGTTATTAAACTGTCATTAAACCAGGTTTTGTGGAGAAAATCTAAGTTAGATCTGTAAAAGGTACTCTGTTAAATCCAGCTCAAAGGCCAAAAACTCTAATAAATCTAGTTAGAAAAAAAAATTGTACAAATGGAGGAATAGATCTCACAAAATAACGGTGCTTCCATTATTTTATTATATTGGTTCATGCAACTGATTTCAAGTGTTTAAAATAAATAATATTTTAAATGTTTTCCTTCAATAAAATCTTATTATTTTAAGTTTTTTTTTTTCTGAAATCTTATCTAAAAGTTGCCTATTTGAAAAGGTTAAAAGATCTGGTACCAAACGAAAAGGTTAATCACTCAAGTAAATCTCAAAGAAAGACAAGTCCTGAGTTCATAAAGAGAAACATAAAAATTAATATTATTCTGAATTTTTATTATATTACCTTATGTTAATGAGTTAAAATTTAATATTTATGTTAGTTTTAATTTTTTATATTTATTTAAATATAAATATATGTACTATTATTTTCTATAATCTATAATTTAAATAAAAATAGTGCTAAAAAATAATATAATCCGAAGACTTGCATAAAAATAGACTTGATCATCTATTATTATTTTTTATATTTGATGTGTAATTTATAATTTGAATAAAAATATTATTAGAAAAATAATATAATTTTCAGATTTTCATGAAAGAATAAGAAATAAAAAATTACAATTATATTGATATGTCTATATTCTAAGTAGATGAATGGTTTATTTCTATTATTTTTCATTGTTCTATATTCAATATTATAGTTGGTTTGAGGTTTAAAATATTAAAAAATTTAGATATAATTTTAGACAAAATAATAAGACCAACTCTGTGTGTGTGTATATTTATAAATAATTCACTATTTTAACCCAGTCTTGTGCTATTTGATAAAGGGGCATGGACACCGTGTTATGACAGTGTCACCGCGCTACGACCAATACAAGGATGCATGGGACACTAGTGTGACGGTGGAGGTACTTTTTTCGTTCTAGTAATGTATCTGTACAAATCTACTTAACTCTTGGTTCTTGATTGAACTGTTTCATTTTCTTTCTTCTCTTTTGGTAGGTCAAAGTTGCAGATAGAATAGAGACTGTTCGTTTCTTTCACTGCTACAAGCGAGGTGTTGATCGTGTTTTTGTGGACCACCCATGCTTCCTTGCGAAGGTTATAATATACTTTTGTTGGCATCAATATTTATAGGATAGAGTACTCTATAACACCTTCAAATTAAACTAAGCATTTTTCTTGCATTTTTTATTTCAAAAGGTGTGGGGCAAGACCGGTTCAAAACTCTACGGCCCTAGAGCTGGAGAGGATTATGAAGATAACCAACTTCGATTCAGCTTGTTATGCCAGGTAACTTCCCCTGTAGTTTAACCTGCATAATTTTTTATTCATGATACACTGCATATCCTATAGCTCATAACTAATATTACCGCGGTAATTCGCTTCCCTTACTGCTAACACACGCAATAGTCTGAATCTATTGATTTAATTTCTCAAAGAAATGCCACCTTCTCTTGAGACATGTAACATTGTCGACTACCTCGACGGCCATTTTCAGTTTTAATTCGTCATCGCTGATTACATTTTATGAGAGCATGGATTTGAATTGACTATAAGATTTGATTCTGGATATGACGTTATCATTGCGTTCAACAACTTTCAGGCTGCACTTGAGGCACCAAGGGTTTTGAACTTAAACAGCAACAAGTACTTCTCGGGACCATATGGTATGGCTCTCTGGTTAATTCCTTGATCTTCGATATTCGGTTAAGGAAAACCTTTAAATTTAGTTTACAAGGTTTCTCTGTCTTCGGGCAGGTGAAGATGTGATCTTTATTGCCAATGATTGGCACACTGCTCTTCTTCCATGCTACTTGAAATCAATGTACCAGAACAGGGGGATTTATAGAAACACAAAGGTAAGGATTTTATTAACTTTCTGAACGCTTGTCTTCATCAATCACCATTTAATCTTTCCAGGGAAACTGACTTTCCTTGGTCCAATCATGGCAGGTTGCATTTTGTATTCATAACATAGCATACCAGGGTAGGCATGCCTTTGAAGACTTCCCTCTTCTCAATTTACCTAATGAATACAGGAGCGCTTTTGACTTTACTGATGGGTAAGACACCCTTATCTGTTCCTAAAAGACTTACATGTTCTAAATTTAGTATTTTACTTATAACATCTTTAATATTCTTATGTTTCATTCTCAGGCATCTTAAGCCTGTGAAGGGAAGGAAACTTAACTGGATGAAGGCTGCAATAATAGAATCGGACCTAGTGCTCACTGTAAGTCCATATTATGCCCAGGAACTTGTTTCCGGAGAGGATAGAGGTGTAGAATTGGACAACATAATTCGCAAAAGTGGCATCTCTGGTATCGTGAATGGCATGGATATTCGGGAATGGAGTCCAAAAACTGATAAATTCATAGATATACACTTCGATACAACAACTGTAAGTGTTATCTTCCCTGTGATTAGATATGGTTTGCTCAATGATATGGAATTGTGGATCATATTTAGAAATTAGCAAGTCCTTATCAAACTGCCGTTCTTAGGTCATGGAAGCAAAATGCCTGCTGAAAGAGGCCCTTCAGGCAGAGGTTGGCTTACCTGTAGACAGGGATATCCCTCTGATAGGCTTTATTGGTAGGCTTGAAGAGCAGAAAGGTTCAGATATTCTTGTGGAAGCTATCCCAAAGTTCATTGACCAGGATGTTCAGATCATAATTCTTGTAAGTGTCTTGATTAGATCGTTCTTGTGGTATTAATCCATTTTACTAATACAGCTAAAAGATAAAAGTTATATATGCTCATGGTTCTATCCCTTTTTCTTCCCCAGGGAACTGGCAAAAAGAGCATGGAGAAGCAAATTGAGAAACTAGAGGAAATTTATCCGGAGAAGGCCAGAGGGATAGCAAAATTCAACGGTCCCTTGGCTCACAAGATTATTGCTGGATCTGACTTCATAATAATCCCAAGTAGATTTGAACCCTGTGGTCTAGTTCAGTTGCATTCTATGCCATATGGAACGGTATAGACTATTGGCCTCTTTTTCTCTATTTCCTTAGCATCTACTACACCTTGGTGTTACGGGACAACATTTTCTGACCCTTTAAACAATAAATGTTTTCAACAGGTGCCAATAGTTTCTTCCACAGGTGGACTCGTTGACACCGTTAAAGAAGGCTTTACTGGATTCCACATGGGTGCATTCCACGTAGACGTAAGTAAAGTAGAAAAATAGTCTTGTCTTGTTTCTATTTGATAGAGAAGCGAATCTGAAAGATTGTTACTGGGGTTTTTCTGTAGTGTGAGGCAGTTGATCCTGATGATGTGGAAAAGTTAGCATCTACCGTAAAGAGAGCCCTTGAAACCTTTGGTACCCCAGTCATGCAAAAGATTATCAAGAACTGCATGGTCCAAGACTTTTCATGGAAGGTAAGCATGTGTGATAAAAAAATGGTGCATCCTCTAAGGCATAAACCAAGGAGGCAAATTCTGTTTATCTTATACCATTGAGATTATTATGATACAGGGACCAGCCAAACAATGGGAAAAAGTGTTGTTGAGCCTAGACGTTGCTGGCAGTGAAGCTGGAATTGAAGGTGATGAGATTGCTCCTCTTGCAAAGGAAAACGTGGCCACTCCTTGAGCATCACCATTGAGATCATCTTTCTCAATCAATACTTGCCAGCAATCTGATTATAAACGGAGCCACCTACAGATATTTTATCAACCATCTCTAAGGAAGGGGCGAAACTTCAATTTCAAGCAAAGTATGAAGCTAATTATCATAAAGCTTTTTCATCAAGGAAATTTGAAGTGCATGAGTTTTATAAGTTAAAAATAATATAGCATAAGGTGAATAAATGTCAATCTATGCTTTCAAATAGTAGTTTATGTACATATTACTACAAATCAAATGAGTAGTATGTTTGCCATAAATATAAAGTATTTACATGTGTTCCAATCCCAAATTGACACCTGAAAACCGAAAAATCTTTTTATGATAATTTCTTGTTAAAATTCTTCAACAAACTAGTATCGATTCTCATAATAAAAAATTGAAGTGTCACAATTACTATTTTTTTTATCTACTCTCTATGATAAAAACAATGACTAAGTGCATGTGAGAGGAAGAATACGAATTGCAGTTTCTTAATATAGATTATAACTTCGCTGTTTGAATAGTTCAATTATATGGGATAACCTAAGACATAATATAAGTGGATGTCTTTGTCTGAAGGCTATATTTGATATTTATGATAAGACTAGAGTAATAATGGCAAAATGATGAACCATATTAAAAAATGCAGCACTATAACAAATATGATATTTTATTCTTCATTTATTTTATTTTATTTTAATCGTGCGCCAATATATCTTTCCAGGTCCTTTTTTATTTTTCAAAAATTCTGATTCGTTTATTTCTTTTGAGCAATAGCAGACAAATAAGTTTAGGCTTTTTTGTTTTCTAATAATAAAAAGAAGAGTGTAGATGAAGTCTTGTAGAATCGTGGCTGTAAAGTTATGCATCAAAAACAAAAGGCGTCAGTTTCCAGTTTCCTAGAGGTTGGGTTTGGGAATGCTGATCGCGAAAATGTGAAAGTGAAAGTAAAGTAGTGAAGAAGGATTGCTTTTGATCCCTTCTACATTATCCAGAGTTATTGTCCTCATAAATCTATCAGTCTCAAGTTTATTTCAATTTTTTCATTTCTATTAATGAATTTCTTCATTAATACAGTAGGATGTCAAACTATTATAAATAAATTAACTTCCCAGTCACATGACACTGTTACTAAATTTTTTCTTCTCATAAATAAATTAATTTTACAAGAAGTTAAACATTCAAATCATAAAAATATTACTAATTAACTTTAGTATTTTGAAACATATAATAAGTATTAACATTATTAATTATTTTCAATAATTATATATAAATAAATGTGTGTATAAAGAAAATTATTCAATGTACAAATTAGATTTAAATTAGAATATATAACTGTATTATCAATTAACATACATTACCATTGATTAATCATGATGAAATAATCACTTTAAAAAGTATTTCTTATAAAAACAATCACAATTAGTTTATTTATTTTTCACATGATAATTGTTTTATAATTGTAAAAAGGTTTTATAAAATGTAATAAATTGATTATCATATTATATAAAATTATGGTTCATGTACATTTATGTAATTAATTAAAATTATAATATATATATATATATATATATATATATATACTAATTGTAATCACCATAAATATTATAACTATATATTCCAAAAATAAAAATTATTAATTTCAATAAATTTTGGTAAAAGAAATCTTCATAATAATATTATATAATATATATATATATATATATATATATATATATATATATTATTTATGGAATATATAGTTATAATATTTATGGTGATTACAATTAGTATATATATATATATATATATATATATATATTATAATTTTAATTAATTACATAAATGTACATGAACCATAATTTTATATAATATGATAATCAATTTATTACATTTTATAAAACCTTTTTACAATTATAAAACAATTATCATGTGAAAAATAAATAAACTAATTGTGATTGTTTTTATAAGAAATACTTTTTAAAGTGATTATTTCATCATGATTAATCAATGGTAATGTATGTTAATTGATAATACAGTTATATATTCTAATTTAAATCTAATTTGTACATTGAATAATTTTCTTTATACACACATTTATTTATATATAATTATTGAAAATAATTAATAATGTTAATACTTATTATATGTTTCAAAATACTAAAGTTAATTAGTAATATTTTTATGATTTGAATGTTTAACTTCTTGTAAAATTAATTTATTTATGAGAAGAAAAAATTTAGTAACAGTGTCATGTGACTGGGAAGTTAATTTATTTATAATAGTTTGACATCCTACTGTATTAATGAAGAAATTCATTAATAGAAATGAAAAAATTGAAATAAACTTGAGACTGATAGATTTATGAGGACAATAACTCTGGATAATGTAGAAGGGATCAAAAGCAATCCTTCTTCACTACTTTACTTTCACTTTCACATTTTCGCGATCAGCATTCCCAAACCCAACCTCTAGGAAACTGGAAACTGACGCCTTTTGTTTTTGATGCATAACTTTACAGCCACGATTCTACAAGACTTCATCTACACTCTTCTTTTTATTATTAGAAAACAAAAAAGCCTAAACTTATTTGTCTGCTATTGCTCAAAAGAAATAAACGAATCAGAATTTTTGAAAAATAAAAAAGGACCTGGAAAGATATATTGGCGCACGATTAAAATAAAATAAAATAAATGAAGAATAAAATATCATATTTGTTATAGTGCTGCATTTTTTAATATGGTTCATCATTTTGCCATTATTACTCTAGTCTTATCATAAATATCAAATATAGCCTTCAGACAAAGACATCCACTTATATTATGTCTTAGGTTATCCCATATAATTGAACTATTCAAACAGCGAAGTTATAATCTATATTAAGAAACTGCAATTCGTATTCTTCCTCTCACATGCACTTAGTCATTGTTTTTATCATAGAGAGTAGATAAAAAAAATAGTAATTGTGACACTTCAATTTTTTATTATGAGAATCGATACTAGTTTGTTGAAGAATTTTAACAAGAAATTATCATAAAAAGATTTTTCGGTTTTCAGGTGTCAATTTGGGATTGGAACACATGTAAATACTTTATATTTATGGCAAACATACTACTCATTTGATTTGTAGTAATATGTACATAAACTACTATTTGAAAGCATAGATTGACATTTATTCACCTTATGCTATATTATTTTTAACTTATAAAACTCATGCACTTCAAATTTCCTTGATGAAAAAGCTTTATGATAATTAGCTTCATACTTTGCTTGAAATTGAAGTTTCGCCCCTTCCTTAGAGATGGTTGATAAAATATCTGTAGGTGGCTCCGTTTATAATCAGATTGCTGGCAAGTATTGATTGAGAAAGATGATCTCAATGGTGATGCTCAAGGAGTGGCCACGTTTTCCTTTGCAAGAGGAGCAATCTCATCACCTTCAATTCCAGCTTCACTGCCAGCAACGTCTAGGCTCAACAACACTTTTTCCCATTGTTTGGCTGGTCCCTGTATCATAATAATCTCAATGGTATAAGATAAACAGAATTTGCCTCCTTGGTTTATGCCTTAGAGGATGCACCATTTTTTTATCACACATGCTTACCTTCCATGAAAAGTCTTGGACCATGCAGTTCTTGATAATCTTTTGCATGACTGGGGTACCAAAGGTTTCAAGGGCTCTCTTTACGGTAGATGCTAACTTTTCCACATCATCAGGATCAACTGCCTCACACTACAGAAAAACCCCAGTAACAATCTTTCAGATTCGCTTCTCTATCAAATAGAAACAAGACAAGACTATTTTTCTACTTTACTTACGTCTACGTGGAATGCACCCATGTGGAATCCAGTAAAGCCTTCTTTAACGGTGTCAACGAGTCCACCTGTGGAAGAAACTATTGGCACCTGTTGAAAACATTTATTGTTTAAAGGGTCAGAAAATGTTGTCCCGTAACACCAAGGTGTAGTAGATGCTAAGGAAATAGAGAAAAAGAGGCCAATAGTCTATACCGTTCCATATGGCATAGAATGCAACTGAACTAGACCACAGGGTTCAAATCTACTTGGGATTATTATGAAGTCAGATCCAGCAATAATCTTGTGAGCCAAGGGACCGTTGAATTTTGCTATCCCTCTGGCCTTCTCCGGATAAATTTCCTCTAGTTTCTCAATTTGCTTCTCCATGCTCTTTTTGCCAGTTCCCTGGGGAAGAAAAAGGGATAGAACCATGAGCATATATAACTTTTATCTTTTAGCTGTATTAGTAAAATGGATTAATACCACAAGAACGATCTAATCAAGACACTTACAAGAATTATGATCTGAACATCCTGGTCAATGAACTTTGGGATAGCTTCCACAAGAATATCTGAACCTTTCTGCTCTTCAAGCCTACCAATAAAGCCTATCAGAGGGATATCCCTGTCTACAGGTAAGCCAACCTCTGCCTGAAGGGCCTCTTTCAGCAGGCATTTTGCTTCCATGACCTAAGAACGGCAGTTTGATAAGGACTTGCTAATTTCTAAATATGATCCACAATTCCATATCATTGAGCAAACCATATCTAATCACAGGGAAGATAACACTTACAGTTGTTGTATCGAAGTGTATATCTATGAATTTATCAGTTTTTGGACTCCATTCCCGAATATCCATGCCATTCACGATACCAGAGATGCCACTTTTGCGAATTATGTTGTCCAATTCTACACCTCTATCCTCTCCGGAAACAAGTTCCTGGGCATAATATGGACTTACAGTGAGCACTAGGTCCGATTCTATTATTGCAGCCTTCATCCAGTTAAGTTTCCTTCCCTTCACAGGCTTAAGATGCCTGAGAATGAAACATAAGAATATTAAAGATGTTATAAGTAAAATACTAAATTTAGAACATGTAAGTCTTTTAGGAACAGATAAGGGTGTCTTACCCATCAGTAAAGTCAAAAGCGCTCCTGTATTCATTAGGTAAATTGAGAAGAGGGAAGTCTTCAAAGGCATGCCTACCCTGGTATGCTATGTTATGAATACAAAATGCAACCTGCCATGATTGGACCAAGGAAAGTCAGTTTCCCTGGAAAGATTAAATGGTGATTGATGAAGACAAGCGTTCAGAAAGTTAATAAAATCCTTACCTTTGTGTTTCTATAAATCCCCCTGTTCTGGTACATTGATTTCAAGTAGCATGGAAGAAGAGCAGTGTGCCAATCATTGGCAATAAAGATCACATCTTCACCTGCCCGAAGAC